TAGATCCAATAATAAATTTTAACATTAGAAAACAATATACAGTAAGACCCCGCTTAACGCTGTTTCGTTTAGCGCTGTTTCGGTTTAGCGCTCTTTTATTTCAACCCGGGGTTCTCCGAAATTGTGCGCAGCGCTAGGTTTCCAAATAACATATCCGAAACAGTGTAGTTGTGTTTCTTGCTTTGTGGACGCATTTTTATCATTTGAAACATTTGTTGACATTATTGTAAGTTTAAATTTGTATAATACTATAACGATTAATACAGTGACAAATATTATGATCTTTAGTTTTTATCATGGGTGATAATACGAAAAAACAAGAAAAGAAAGCAACCAGAAAAAGCATTTCACTGGAAACTCAAATGCAAGTGATTAGAAGATTAGATTCTGGTGAACGTCAATCTCAAATTAGTGCTGCATTGATTTTGGCAACTTCAACAATAAGGACAATTCTTAAGAATAAAGAAAAAAAATACTGTCATCGGCAACTGCAACTACGTCAAGCTCTGCAACTAGAATTAACCCGTTCTAGAAATAACATTATAGAGGAAATGGAAAAAACGACTGTCTATATGGATTGACGACGAAATTGGAACGCAATATGCCATTAAGCCCAATCTATCATAATGCCTTCTTGACAAAAAGGCAGAAAATTGGAAACCCAGAATAGACTGAATGATCTGACTGAGAATTTTATTTGTTTTAAAAGTATATGCGTTTATATTGTTTTTATTTTTGTAAGAAATAAATGTTTGATTTTATTTTTATTAAAAAAACATTATTAAATTTAATGCCTAACCATTTTTTATCCGTCTTCCCCTAACTCCATTATTTACATGTTAAGATAGCCTCGCTTAGCGCTGTTTCGCATTACGCTCTACTTCGATGGAACCTATCCCCCGCGTTAAGCGGGGTCTTACTGTATCGCATTGTGAAACCTCAGCATTTTTTAGGATTAACTAATGTTATTACTTTTTCTCTTAATTAATTGGATTGTGTATGATACAATTCCTTTTGGATACGTCTAAAGCTGAAACTTTACAATCATTATTTCTTTTTTAAAATAAATTTTTTAATTTGTGCTGCAAATTGGCGCTCCTTCTAGTTGTTCACCTGAATCAAGTGCCTCACCTTTGCCACAACTTTGGTGTAAATAATGGAATTTTGATCTGTAAAAAGCCGAAATAATTTATCAAGCAGGACTGTGTATATTCAGTCTGTAGGAATTAGTACATTCTTCATAGTGTGCTTTCGCGGTTTAACTGGCGAGTATGCACACCTGCTAAATAGAAGATTCGTAATTCGTATCCATGTGCAAGTTTTTAAATACGAGCCAGTTTCCCTTAGAAAGTTCTCCACGAGGGCATAACTCCCTTGCATGTAGTGCCTAGGGAAAACATAAATAATAATAATAAAACAACAATGGAATTTAAAATTTATTTAATGTAAATATAACCATCATGCATAAATAGGCAATTTCACAGAATTATAATTAGAAATATGCAAAAGATTTCTATGAACAGTTCCGAATGTCTTTAATGCAAAAGTTCATTTATGACCTGTTCATAAGGCTTCTGGAAATTATTTGACCTATGCTGAATCTCTAATCTTAATACTTTAATGGGATTCCCCATTTAAAGGGAACATGCGAGTGTAAAATTAAAAATTTAGCAAAAAAGGCAACTTTAGTAGACGTTTTCATGCGTTTTTTCCAGGAGCAAAGAAAAGAGGAGAAAATTCTCCAGAATTTGTTTTCTCTTGAAGATAAGGGGTTTATTTCTTACCTGCTTCAAAATAGATAGAACTATTCAAAAACTATACCAAACTAAGGTTACATTCTTCGCTGAATTTCAAATGGTTGATTAAAATCGAAACCAAGCTGAGTGGTGAATTTATCCTTTATCTTTCTGTGTCCCGTTTGCAATTTTTATAAATCTATATTGTCCTTATTTGGTGTCTTTACGTGAGCTTACCAAATTGTTTTGTAATATTTTGATTATATTAACCAAATCTGTGATCACAGTAAACGAAGTATTTTCCACTTGTGCGTATGGAAACGACCGGGACTGCAGCAATTCGATAAAAATTTCAGTTTGATAACATTAAACGGAATCTTCCATATATAAAATTGCATTTATTCATTTAATATACATCTGTGATCATTAAACTTCGTTGATTGGGAGAATCTTTAAAATATTAATTTTCTTTTGGGAACTCTTCAAATAATACTTTTATTTATTTCTTTATTTATTGTGAGACCTCTGCCATACATAAGGTGATACAGCACTTGATGTTAGGTTGAAAGCTCTGAAAAGCATCGAAAAATAAACCATTGAAATTATATTGATGTTGGATTGAAAAGCATTGAAACTATGGTGACGTTATGCGGAAAATAGAAGAAAAATCACTATATATATATATATATATTTTCAGTTTTGCTCATAGAAAGAGATTTTATATTATGCTAATTAATAATGAGAAAACAAATTATTTTAATTATTAATTATTTTAAATGGTTAGTTTTTCTGATCAATTATTTTAAATGGTTAATCTCTGAATGAAGAATGATGATAAAACGGATTGTTTACGACCTGGTCAGGAATTCTTTCGAATTTTGATTTTGTCTTATGGAACCCATAGTGTAGTTATATCGAATCTCAAGATTCCGTGGAACACAGTTTGAATACCATTAATATACGCTAACATTAAAAATACCTTGAACGTACGTTCAACCTAAATTTCTAAAATTCAGAAGAAAAGTTTCAGTTGTGTTCATGATAAGAAGCAAAAGCATTCGAAATACCAAGATATTGATGTTTCGCCTCGTTAGCCCCGAAAATACATAGCCATTTTCTTTATTTGCCAACAATCCCTTGAAACAAATACTCCAGTGAAATCAAAATCAAGAAAGATCTTCCTCATTGAAAAGTATGCTCATCGTTTCCATAGAAACACCGACTCCTGGAGAAAGAGGGAAAAATGCGAGGAGCGTAAAAGTAAAATGATGAAAGAATAAAAGCAAAAAAATTCTAAACAAAAGGAAGAAACAGAAAGAAAAGAGCCGAAGAAAGATTCAGTTCCTTAGAACAGAGAAACAGGAAAAAAAATGTATAATCAATAACACTTTTACTTTCGGTTTTTCTTTGCTTTCTTCTGTTCGTAATTAATTTAGAACAAACAAGATGCAAAAGTAATGCTTGAAAAGATGTCTCTTTCATGGATGGGTGGGCGTACACCGAACTAAAAAAAGTACCTTTCAGAAAATAGAATACTAAGAGAAAGAGAACATTTTATATTTTGAATGGGTAGTGTAAAATAAATGGGCTTAGCATACAAAAAGCTGTTGTTTAAAAATTTAGTAAGACATGCTGATTTTTACTTTTTTTTTTTTTTTTTTTTTTTTTTTTTTTTTTTGTTACTGTGCATTCTAAGAGAGGAACAATAAGAATCTACAATGTATTGAAATTTCTTTCCTATTTTAACACTTAACACGTCGCTAAGAATCTTTAGTCAGTCGCTTAAATGCCAAAGTAAGTTTTAAAGATATCTTTGTTTTTTAAAAACCAATACTAGACATGCTCACAATACACTCCCTTTGTCCATTATTGACGCTAGTTTGGTCTTTTATTTCATTTTAATAATTATGAATTGTCACCAAATTAGAATTAATTTAGTGACAAATTTGAAAAAAATTAAGTTTTTTAAATTATTACATGGAGTTAAAAATAAAATAGTTAAATTTTAAATGCATTGTTTTTTAAGTATTTGTTGAAAAATCATTCAGACGCATTCTAAGTACACCATATTTTATTATTTTAAGTTTCAAGAATGTACATTCTGAATTCTAATGTACTTATGTACTTTCTCTGCAAAAGAAGTTTGTTTCTAATATAAAACAACTCCACCGAAATCATTATTTATTACAATTTTACTCATAAAAACATGTTTGATATTATTTAACATAACAACAAAAATATAAACAAAACGTTTTATTTAATTATTTATTTTAAATAATTAAGTTTACTCAAGAAACATTTTATAATACATTTTAGCTGAATTTTAAGAAATGAAGATAAATAAATTCAAAGCACTTGTTGAGTTAAGAAATTATTTTTTTGTTTTAAATAATGTTAAAATGCAGCAAAGCAAACAGTGCCACCCAGACGGTATAGTGGTTAGGAGAGCTTACTTCGGTACCTAAAGGCTCGGATTCGAATTCCGGATAAGGCTTGGATGTTTGTAAATGTATAGTGTCTCTACGGCATGGGGGCACTGTAAATGCATGGCGAACCGAAAGTTCTCTCGAGAGGTTGAAGGTAAGGGAAGAGAGGTGAGAAATCCTCGGACCCGTCTCCCTGGGTGCTCTCCATCAAAATCGGGGACGGGACTGAGAGAAGTTGTTTCCTTGCCATGATGAATTCCGTGGGCTTGTTCTGATGTTACTGTCAGACAAGTCAGATAAGTCACAAAAACATTCTACAACACTCTTTCTGTTCTCCGTTCTTCGAATTAAAAGTTTTCTTAAAATAAATTGGAGAAATTTATTTAAACAGTGAAAGTTTTCTTTAAATACAAAATCCAATCCTTTATATCAGCAGTGTCAAATGGTGACCCACGTGCCGCATGCGGCTTCCGAAACAATTTTATGAGATCCGTGAAGACATTTCAATTATGAATTTGTTGCAATGATTTCAGAGAATGAATTGTTACTGAGATTTCAAGAGTTTAATTATTTTTTTAATGTGTGAGTTTATGTTATTTTCATTTTCATTAAAAACTAAAGTGAATAACGCTGTCATAAAATCTATAAATGGGGGATCTTACTAATTTACATCGTGGTATATATATATATATTACTTAAAGATTTGAAGATAACACATTTTATTAGATTTTATTCGTACTTGTCAAAAACTAAATAAGCTCAGATACGAATATTTACTGTAAAAACAATCCCTTTGTTCGTGAATACATTTATTTATTATAACATCTTTTCCTTACAGTTAAAAATTAACAAGAAAAAACAATGTCCAATTAGAATCTACAGTCAGAAGATAATTTCCAGCAATTTCTTTCCAAGAGGTATAATTTCTTTCCAAGGTCTTTATATTTTTTTATTATCTTTATCAAAAATTTAATCAAGAGCGAAACGTCATCAAGTACCACGATATAGTAAGATATACAAGAAATTTATCATTAAATACATGCAAACATATAAATTCTTATATATGCACCGAAGAAAAATTCTATACGTAAGAGGAAGAGACTAACTTTTCATTATTTACTCTAAAGTTTTGTTTTACTTACAAAACGTTTTCAGAAAAACTAAGAAAGTTATTATCCTTTTTTTTCAGTTTAAATTAAAGTAACTTATTTAATGATTAATTAAACATCTAAAAACAACTAAAAAAAAGCAACAAAATCATTTTTATCATCACTCGTAATTCGAGATTATTACTATACTTAGACACGTAGATGCTTTTTTGCCAAACCATATAAATCTTTTGTAAATTACATAACAATTATAATATAGAATACAGGCCAAAGGATACGAAGCTTTTTTACGCCACAGTAACCTGTATAAGATATTTTCTCTCTTTTTCCAGCATGGCTTCGTGGTGTAACGGTATTACACTCGACGCATACTCGAGAGGTCCAGGTTCGAGTCCCGGTGAGGGCATCGCTCATTTTTCATGTACTCATGCTTCAAAATAACCTAATATATGCACACCTGTACTATGGCATTACTTATACTACTACGGCATACTTATACTACTACATATTACTACGGCATCTTTCTTGACAAATGGTTGTGAAACATGTTTTAATAAGATAAGCATATCAGCCAGACTATTTAAATAACTGTACAACATCAAAGAGCATGTATATTTTTTACAATGCATTTACGTGCAAGATGGTAATTCCTGGTTTATACATGTACTGTAGCACTCTTTTATACATACTGCATATATTTAGATACTAAAAATCTGAAAAGCTGTTCATAGGACTCAGTTAAGATATGGCCTTTGATTTAGGCTATTTAGTCATGAACTGTTTTGTTGCGGGTTATTTCGTAATAAATTATTTTGTCGTGGACTATATTGACGGGCTACCATATTATAATATGGTTTAATTACTCATTCACTTTAGGGAGTTCTTTTGTAATCTATAATATTCGTCTTGCTCAAGGAAGAATTTCATCGTTACCTCTTAGATTTCCAAGAACAGGTTTATTTTTCTTTATCTATAAAAATTATTATTGCTTGAAGTTTCTGCAGGGTTTAAAGTTTTCCCCTTCACCTGTTTTGGTTATCTTAATGAATCCAAAACTCCAAATATCTTACTTTCTTGCTGAATTGAGGCATAACTGAAACCCTGATGCACTTATACTGCAGTAAAACAAGAAAACGTATGAAATTTTACTGTTCAGATTAACAGCAAAATATTGCGTTGCATTTTCTTGTCCAGTGATTTGTAGAATGTAACGAAATTAGTCAAAATCATCCATCACATACGTAAGCTGCGGTTATAATTGAAGAACCATTGTTCTTGAATTGTTTTATTTAATTTTGATTTAATCCTTCGGTAATTGCTAGATTAAGCAATTCTTTCTTGCGCGATATCTGTCAGTAGTAAATTTGTAATGCCCCAGCTGTGTTCGTTTGCCTCTACTGCGAGGCGTAACTGGAATGTAAGCTAAGCTCTTTGATGACCATCAAAAAGTTAAAATGACTTGTTTTATTAGTTCTCTTAATTTTGGACCGATTCCTCTTATTCATTTTTCCTTTCATTGCCATTTACAGCGCAAGTTATAACATAAATTGCTATGTTTAAGAGTTATAAACTAAATATTCACATAAAAACAAAACAAAAAGTTTTACTTTAGTACATAATTTTTTGGTGCAATTTTTCTGATATAGTCTCCTAGTTCTAATTAAAATATCAGACAGAATTTTATTCCTAGCATTTACTTGTAAAATTATTTAAACAAACTAATTAGAATTTTACAAATTAAGGTTATTTACGCGAAGTTATATTGCTTCTGATTTTACAGTAACGTTCTTGCTACGGTATTCTCAGACTGAGCCAGAGACTTTAGATTAAGGCTGAAAATTAAAACTCTAACTTGAGTAACAATCTAGAATAAGACACATAATAGTAATAAAAAACCAAAACAAATCTTACTTTTAATCTTGTTAAGTGTTTCTCAATATAAATTCGGTATCGAGGTTGAGTATATCATATCCATTGAAATAAATGGAATAAATGACCTAAATGTTATTAGACATTCCTCATTTTTGAAGATGTGGAGTCCTCATTGGTCTTCTTTGAGAGCAATACTGCTGTTAGATTATTGCAATACAGCCATAAAGAGACAGTTGTGTTCTGAAATGGAAAAGAAACTACGCCAATGTAAAATTTATAACAAAAAATGAATCTTAGTTGGCCGTAGATTTTGAATAAAACAATCTAATCCTTTCTTAAGGTTTCCAGATTCTAATTTCTAATTTTTCCACGTTTCATTACAACTTTATTCTACAGACGGCGATACTTTTTTGTTTGCTTTCCGATACGTTTTTGTTTTTCACTGTAAAAGAAGTTAACGGTTCTCTCGTTTTACAAAACTGTGTTTTCTCGTGCAAAAGAGAGATCTGTATTTGATCACCCTCAAAATCAGCAGAGTTTCATTAAAAATCCATGCCAACCTGATGTTGCTTTTTTCCCTTAATTTTAAATTACATGTCTTCTGTTTCTTGCTTTGTTTTGACAATAAACTTTTCTCACAGCATATGTAATTGGGATTATTTTAGTAGAAGTAGTAATTTGTAGCTACATGTAGACTTCATGGTGATCACATCTGCACATTTGAACAGACAAATACCGTTTGCAGAATTCTAAATTTTGATAACATTATTTCTAAAATATATTTACTGCGAGGATAGAGATTTAGAGTTGCCATGTACCATTTAAAGATAAAAACAATTTCTACTTCACGACATTAATATAGTTATAGAATTATATTATATAGAATAGTTAATAAATATTATGGATTATATAGAATAGTTATTATACAGTTATTGTATAATTATATTCTATTATATAGAAGTAAATTTAATTTATTGCTAAAGGTGCATTTCATGTTTAAAATGTATGGTTTATAAATCACACATCACTGCTGATCTCAAATCCTTTTTACACATCAACTCTAACACCGACATTATTTCAAAGATAATTTCGGAAGCTGGAGATAATATATCTGTCGTCTGAATTTTTCTGGTAAACATTATCGTTTACGATAATGAAGACTTGGTTTGGTTTATATGATTCCGACAAAGCCTCAGGGGCTATCTACCTAAGGGAAGGGATGCCTTCGTGGAGGACTTTCTAAGGGAAACTGTCTCGTATACACATTGCACATGGAGAACCACGAAACTATCCATGCAGCCAGCCTGTTCGTGGGGTTCGAACCTCGGACTGAACTACCAATGTTCAGCGACTTTACCGCTCGGCCGCTGGTGGGCCTACAAGAGTGAAGAGCTGCAAAATTTCTAGTGTTTCTTTGGAAATTAATATAATTTTTTAATTAATCCAAAAATTCATTTCTTTAAATTACAAAACATGAATTATCTTTAATTTCCATGTTAGTGAATTTATAATTAAAAGAATCATATAAATGCGAAATGAATTCTTTGACTTCAAACAATCTTTTCCTTAAATTTAAAAAAAAAAAAAATTCTGGAATTTCCCTTGAGAAATCCAATTTGGCAACTTTGGCAGGAGCTTTCAGCATTCATTCCGTATAAAGTTTTCAAAATTACTTTCTCTACTCTTCTGTTCATCCGTGAGATTTTATGCCTATTTTTTATTGGCAACAAAAGTTGAATTGATACTGTTCCAAACATCCTGCCTTTTACCACCCATCCTTGTGCATAAAATTTCGAAAATATCTGCATTCCACACTTTCATAGACCTTATGGGCAAGCACTTCCCAGAAATCCCTTCTCGGATCTCGCGTGTACCGTGGACATACAAACCTATACTACTTTCCACTACCGTGAGCCGGAACGCGTTCATTCACGCACATGACATTCATAAAGTTTCCGCGGATGATCCTCCAGAGCACTTTACGACGGCGTTGCCATGGACACGGTATCCTCAGCACCTTTTGGAAATATATGTCATGTGACATCTCGATCCCGGTCTCTTTGGCTGAAAGACAGCACTCTCTCAAGCAACGGTTATCTCCCTGCCTCTTTATGGAGAAGACACTTTTTTCTTTCGCATTTTACACCTGTCATCGCACTTCGAACGATAAGGAGAATATCTGGATAGTTCGTGCCTATCTATGCGTATCTGTTTAAAGTGCGACCGATAAAGCATGCCCTCAAAAGTGTCTCGGCTTGGGTCAGAATGGTGTAAGTCGAAATTTTCTAATAAGGCCTTAATCTGTACTTTATGTTTTTTTAATTAAATAATAACATTACTTTTCTGCAACTTTTATTCCAGGCAATTTAACTACATGTTACTGCTGGTGAATGTGGAATATTCATAGAACAAGAATCTGCATAATACAAAAACATTCCTAGTATATGAAAAACTAAAATATAAAGATATCAGATTAAATCTGCTGATTTAGAAAGTACGTTATTTACTTAAGACGTATATATCTAATTTAGGATTATTTTCAGAGACAGATAAAACTAAATATGATAACACCGTTACTAGTAAATATAGTATTCATGCTATAAACTGATAGTGATGACAGTGCTACTAATGTTCAGAAGATATATATAATATATTGTAAAAGGAGAGACAAATGGTATTTATCAGGTCAATATTATATACACTTAAAAGCAAGGTAAATAGTATTTATAAAATCTGTGTTACATACTCTTAAAAGGAAGATAATTAGTAATTATAATATCAATATTATATACTCCAAAAAGCAAATTAAATAGTATTACATCAATTATACATTAATATTTTTAATGAATAATGCCTAAGTAAAGAATAAAATCTCATACATATTTTCTTTCGCTACATTATTGTATTTTACAAGTTTGAAAGCACTTTTACATTCTACGTAAGTGAATCTCCCCATTCCATATTTTAATGATTTATGCATGCTCTTTAATTTTCATCTTCATTTCCATGTTTTTTGATATTCTTTTCTAGGCATCTGAGAAGGAAGATAACGTAGCTGAGACATTCAAGGAAACTTTATCTCTCTTGACTTTTCCACGGATTATCTTCAGATTTTCTTATGACAAGTGTTACTTTATACAACTATTAAGACTATTATAAAATAAAGAAGCATTTCTGGGTTTTTGACTTATTATTGAACCAAATGTGTATTTTTCAGATGCGCTCTTATTTTAACAAATGCGGATGTTTGCTATTGGCTGATCACCCCAACTGCTTACACAAAAATGTTGTTTTTGTTTTCGCCTTTGTAAGAAAACCTAAAATTAAATCTACGATTTGAAATTCCTGAAGGAAACAATATTATACATATAATAGTCTGCATTCTAAAACAAAAACAGGCATTTTTTGTAAAAGGCAAACACAATCAAGCTTAGTAACACACCAGAGGTTCTAGGCACCGGAAACTTCGAAAATCCCGCTATCCGGATATTATGTTTTCTAATTTTAGTGGCTTCAAGTGCTGAAAACTTCGAAATTCCGCACATCTATCTACGGCGGAGCTAAAATATTCCTTAGTAAGTTTAATATTACTACTGAGACTGTCAGGAGACTGATTGCCCCGTCTATGGAAATAGAAAATGAGTCTGAAGAAGGTTTAAATCAAATTTTTATTAAAATCTTTAAACTTAAGAGTTGCACGGGTTGTATTTACAATGAAATGTTTCTTAGCTCGTGGGATTTCAGACAACAAAGTAAAGTAATTCAAGGTAAAATTAATGCTAAAGATTCACGGCGTAAAGCCTAATAAACTTTAATTCAATTGTAATTAATTTAACAAGTTATTCGGCTAGCAAAAAGGCTAACGCCGGATAAGCATATCTCAGAGCCGGGGGAGGATATATCACAAAGGTCAGCGTCGCTTACGAAGCTCAGTGTCTAACTATTCTATACTTAATACTCGTATCTCATTTACATCCGGGTGAGAACTAGAGAAACGTAGAAGTGACAGTAAAGTTAACATCATAATATAATGGGTTTATTAAACTAAATACTCTAGATACTCTAGATAACTAAGAACTAGTGTTTTAAGAAATAATATTTTGTAACTTTTAAACATGAATATGTTTGATTGATAAATGTATTTGCACAATAATAACTCTTTAGAATAACGTGCAAAATAAAACGTTTAATTAATTTTTAACGTTGTATAAATAACAACAAAAGGACCGAATTGGTAATTCTAAAAGGAAACAAAATCACGTGGAATAGGCTATATTTTTGTCAGACTGTAAAAAGCTATGAATGGCTAGAAAGAGATGGGAACTGGAAGTATTCACGGGCTTTCACGACACTATGCTACGTATTTTTGTAAATTAAATATAAATTAAATAACTTTTAATGAATGATTTGTAAAAATAAAAAAAATCCAAAGAATGGACGACTGATGCTTGTAATAATGTTTAACTGCGCAGGAAGGCTTGGTATTTTTTTGTAACAGTGATTCAGTTGACATAAATAATGAAATAGTGATTTTACCTCCGGATCTCGATACACTGAGTGACACAGAGAAGATTGATGATTCATCTACAAGGGAGATGGAAGAAATAATGTGTGATGAAGTAAGTCCTAAACGGGATGCGGGTACTATTGAAATTTTAGTTTCAAATAGCAATGAAGAACGTGATGTAAACACCAAATGGGTAAAATGTGAACCCAAGTTTGAATGTAATCTGAAGGCGTTTCCTTATGAGACAGTATTTGTTGCTTCATGGACGCTCAAGCACTTATTTGGTGATGATAGTATGAGCCTGTTTGATTTCCGAAGACACATAACAGTTGCCTATTTGGGAAATTCTATCCCAAGAAATCCATATTGCTGAAAACTGGGTGATCAACAATTTAAGGAAAATTTTCCAAAGCTTCAAAATGAACACGTGATTGCGAAAAACCCAGAAAATAGACCAAGAAGATGCCAGCTAAAGATCTGCGCAGTAAAACCAAAACTTAATGTGTAAAAAATGTAACGTTGGACAATACTTAAGGTGCTTTCTCCTATTCCACCTACCTAAGAATGATTAGCAGTGGATTATACCATTGTCCTATTTTTAGGACTAGCTGTATTGATCAAACTAATAAACGTTTGGTATTTTTTTTTGTTTTGTTTTATATGTGTACATCAACTTAGAGAAACACATATTTAGGAATTTAGAAAAAAAATTTAATTTTTTCAATGCTTGGTGTGATATGGGTTAAATCTAAATTCTTAGATAAATTTACATTTAGAAGGCACTACCACTTTCGTAACGTGTATAAGCTGTGTCTTTTAAGTTTGATATAACAAAAATAAAATGTACATTATATTAACAAAGAATATATAGTCAATAAATGTCCTATTGTATTACTCAGGGACATCAATTTCCGTGTTAGAATAGAAATGATTGGAAGGATAATTAAGCTTGATGCATATGATTATAAATTTATATTTAAATAAAAAAGTTTATTTTCATTCTCTGTAATAGAGATAGCACATTCTGTCGGTTTGAAATGCTGACAAGATCTTAGATATCACGCCCCTGTACACTCTTCTAATCTTCTTGGTAATGTCACGCATTTGATAGTCTTTACACAGTTTGCGAATATTAAATTTTACTCTCATGAAGTCAGTTATTGATACCTTTGAGAATTGACGAGAGAGTTACGTCAGCAATTGTCTCTTTAAATTTAATATCCCCCCCTCTAGGCAATTGCGTACCTTTCTCTTTTGCTTTTTATCATTTCAAATGCTACCGTATGATCTTTCCATTCGCAAATGAAAAATCTTCATATTCGCATGCAGGAATTCCATTAGTACAGATGAACTATATAAAATAAGGCTTTGTATTTGATTATGTGTTCTACCAGACTGATTATGGCACCCCATGGACCTCATCTATCCGTATTAGGAGGGAGGTGGGTTGTCTAGTCAAAGGAGAAGTACTGCAAGCAATTACCGCAACACCCCTGGGTTCCCAATACACAGGCAACGGACATTTAATTTAAACTCTCTCTTATCATACCCAATGTTACAACGCCTGCCCAAGGTCACCACTCTAGAGCCCAAAGAGACCGCGAAGGTGGGGAAAAATTAACATAACCGACTGTTCAACTTAAACTTTGATGCCGTAATCTAAGACTACACGCTAAACAGACTAAAAATAAGCTGGCTCAGAAATATTAATGGCGCGTATTTAAAGCATCGGCTAGCGAGAATGGTAAATCTGGAATGTATCTTTTAAGCGGAGCTAGCAAGAATACGCTGCGATGCTGTTGCCAAAAGCTCTAATTTAAAGATTCAGAGCCCTGAACTTAAATATACACAAAGCCAATATGAATCCTGGTGAGAAATACGGAAAAGAGAAGCTATAGCTAAGACTTAAATCGTAATAACTGGTTTATTGTTACATATTTTACAAGACTCTCGAGAGGAAAGATTGATGTTAAGTAAATCTCTTTAACAAATAAATAAATCTTACAGTACTTTATATATAGAGAGATCATATTTTATAAAAATTACTTCATATTTTTCAACATTGACTTCTATGCTGGAAAATATCCTCTTCTGACTTGAACCACTTTAGACTACTACTCAAAATGCTATAATTCGTCAAAAGAATCCAGCGACTGGCTTCGAAAGTGATGCTTTCAAAAGATACCCATCGTTTGAATGTCATCGAAAAATTCCACTTATGCTTATGTAAAGTGTTCTTTCGTTCCGCTCCTTAAGTAAAAAAAGGGGGAAAATGACTTCCATTTCGTACTCTTTGGAAGTCCTTTATTACTACCACATTCTGAGGTAGAAAGAAAATGAAAGGGATTTTTCTGATGCTTAAAATATTTTACAGGAAAATATTGTGGAGAGCGTACGGATTCGTAATGAATTGAATGCCCACAGAACCTATGAGAGCTTTATAAAATTTATTTTCCAAAATATAGCAATTTACATTTATGGAACTGTCCACATAAATACTCGCAGCTCTTCTTGGTAGGGCAGACCACAATCACTAATTGCAGTTTCAAACTAAGTAAAAACGAAGAACTGATGCTCTCTTTGGTCTTATATAGTTTTCCCCCGGTACCCAAAGAGTTTCCAGTTCATTTCATACTCCTTGGAGGTCACCGAATGACTGAGAGATATCATTCAGTTATTCCAGCCCTTCAATTTCTCAAAATTACTGGGATACGTATACGGCTAAAGTTACGTATTAGGGCCGGATACTGTTACAGTTACCTACAAAGATCAATCACAACTATTCAGTTACAGTAGCACAGGGACCGGACCAAAATGTCACCAAATTTGAAAATAAGCCACCAAAAGGATCGCGAACTTTGGGATATCTCGCCAACTCAACGTGATAGCCATTTACTTGAATGTTAAATAGACCTGCCTCTGTAATCTTACTTTTCCTGCAAAACTTTGAATTTCTACTGCACGTTCGAACCATTACACTACCTGAACAGGAAGTCCTGCTTTCAACTACGGAAAATCATTGCAATACTAAAACAATAATTTCAATAATTAACATACAAGATATCAAATATTAAATCGATAAATAAATGCATGAATTTACAAATTTATATACAAATAGGACCATGGTCTTATATGCTATTTACATTATTTTATATACACGGTGTAGATTTCGTTTTAGGCCACAGAAACGGGCTACCCTGTTGTAAAAACGAACTTAGGCTTAGAATTTGATGACTTACGGAACCGAAGTACAGCTGCGTGCAGCCTGTTTAGAACTCTGTAAGGACCCTCCCATAGTGACAGCATTTTAGGAGCCCGAAACCACAACTTGTAACCTCCTTTGAATCGATGTCTTCTAACTTTCCTGTCGTATCGGGTCTTCATCTTCTTCGTCGCCAAGTTAAATCGCTCTTGAGCAAAATTGTGTTATTTCAAACAGTGCCTGGAGATCTTGAATATACGCCACAGGCTATGAAGTTGCATCCAGAGGGCGGCAAAAGAAGAGATTACAAGGCTGACGAAGGTCCGACCAAATAGCATCTGGGATGGAAAAAGCTGGTAGTCTGGGGGACAGCATTGAAATAGGCTAATGATAACAGAAGTATCTTCTGGCTCCAGTCATGTTGGTTTCTTGGAGCCATCAGCGCGATATTGATAAGAATGATTCGATTA